AAATTACTTAGAATCTCATATAAATACAAAGCAATGAAACAAATACTTTTCACAATAAATGAAACACAACAACATAGTAAGATACAAGAATAGTGTCATCTAATAACAGACTGTACGTGAAATAAATGAACTGAACGCTTCGTCCATCACTGTCTCATGTCTTTACTCTATCACACTGATTTTACGACACTGAACGACACATGCTCTCTCTCTTCATGTGATCAGTCACGTGATTTGCTCTACATGTTCGGTTTTTGATTATTGATCTTGACCTGAGAGGATCAGTGTCTGTGGGTCAATGAGAAGCTCGATCACATCACACGTTTCATTTTTCAATGTGAACGATCAAAGTTCACCAACAGCAGAACCTCGACACCACAACACAAACCACTGCATCAGCTTCAACACTGTGACTCCACAAACCAGGGCTTGACTCTACAACTTCCTGTTCAGCGACACATTGTTGATTTCATTTTAAATTTCATGATCTGATAGAACTTACCAGAGAGCAAAGTCTCGAGCTGCTTCGTGTTTCTACTACCTGGGTTCCAGCTGTCGACCAATCAGAGTCTCCGCTGTGTAAACGTCACGGGGCGATTGGCAAATCAGAGGAAGCCAAGGGAGGAAACCAGAAGAACCATTTCCGTTTTGAATAATAATGTTACATGAGTTCTGAACCAGAATGAATTGGTTTTGCAGTTTATAAATAAATCCTGTGTAAATTTACCTTCTACAGGGAAACTGTAAACTTTTCATTATTTCCTAAACACTAATACAGAACTGAAAATATCAGTCAATCGAGAAACCATATTTTCCTGGTTTCTCGATTGTTTGGATGCTAAATCCAACAAGTGATCAACTTGAATGGTGCCTCTTACCCTGGGAATAGTAATGGGCATTTCTCACCATCTTTAAACATCATTAGTTGTGAGCTTCACTAATGCAGCCTTAGACACATCCTATGGTGGTATACTACGATTGTACCAGAGGTTAATCACACACAAATTACATTAAAGCAATCTGAAACAACTCAAGCTCAATATAAACCATCACAGTTAACACTTGAATTCGTTTTTTAAAAGTTAGAGTTAAGTCAACAAGAGTCCCTGGTTTTCATAATGTAATGAGTCAACACAGATTCATTTACCAACAAAAAACATGACCATGGATTTTGATGATTTTTGAGGTGAAAAGGCTCAACATTTGCTGATCTAATATCTTTGGGATTTGGACAAACACAATTCACAGCCATCACCTTGGGCTCTAGAAATCTGTGGAATACTTTAGACAAAACTATGGTTAATTTAAAAAAAGGAGGCATTTCTGTTACTGTGAATAGGTATGAGAGGGTAAAATGAACTGATCTCCAACAGGTGAAACTTTCTTTTCAACATTGTATAAATGATCAGCATTCTTATGTTTTGCAAAGGCAAGTATTTTCAGGGAACCATTTACTCAATTCATAATGTTATTAATAAATGGCAGCAAACAGGAATCGACCTTCAGGATGATTAAGCAGATCAGACTGTTCAAATATGACCTTCATAGAAGTCATTAGAAAAACACCTTATATGCGTCCTCACCACAACAGCGTCAGACGTTTGCAAACAACCCTGATGTATTTTGGAAAAAGTAAGTTGAAAGAGAATATTTGGCTACAGTGAACACAAGTATGCAAAGAACACTTGCAACTTTTCAGCATAAGGGTGAATTAATAACACTTTGGGCTTGTGTTGCAGACAACGGCACAGGGAACTTGTCACCATTTGAGGAAAGAATGAATTCAATTAAATACCAATAATGTCTGGGAGCGACACAGTAAATGGGTGAACATCCCTCAAACAAGAACTAAGAACCTTACGTGGCTACAAAATATTGAGTCTGTGACTCTAGCTGAAGAGGCTGTTACCAAGTACTAACCATGTATCTAACTAACTTATTTCATCCTTTATTTTTAAAGCA